GTGAAGAAGAGTGAAGACTGAAGCTGTGAAGTGAGGACTGAGTCTGAGCTGAGGCGTGAGAACTGAGAAAGTGAGAAGGGTTAACTGAGAAAGTGAGGCGCAGACCGCAGCAACATAAAAAATTTGCTTCTGAGAATTAGACGGAGGCAGACCGCAGAATGAAATAAGGATTAGGTGACCTAACCCTAAAAATAAAATTAGTATTTATTATTCCCTTAATAAATTCGGATTTCGGATCGGATCGGGTTCAAACTATACAAATCCGAATCCAATCCGAAAATCCGAATCCGATCCAAATATCCGAAATCCGAAATTAAGCGGATCAGATCGGATTTCGGATATCTGATCCAAATGCACAGCCCTAGCCGCTACCACACTTTTTAATATTAGATCTGGTACTATGAAACAGTATACTATCAGCCGCTACCACACTCTCTCTCTCTTTTAAAAAAAAAACAAAAAAACACATGGAACGGAAATCCTTAGTCCGAAAAAGTAGGCTTGGATCCAAACTCCTTATTTTACGAAGTGCATGTTTCATGGTTCCACAAAAGGCAATAATTAAATGCTTCTGCCAACTTGGAAGTCAAATTTGGCATGCTCCTATCAAATTATATATATATATATATAACTTCTAACTTTATTTTAAAATACTACTATAATTGTTTTGAGGCACTCTACAAATTTTATCTTGCTTTTCATTAATAGCTAGACACTATACTACTAGCAAGCGGGTTATTTCTTTTCAAATTTTCCTATATTGAATGGTGTATGAAGGCCTGCCCTCTTTCTTTCTTTTTTTGGTACAGATGAACTTAAATATTCCTTATGGTAATAAAATAGTGTATAATATTACTTCAAATGTAAATGAAATTAATGGCATATATTATCTTTTAGACGTCCTGCCCATGGGTAGTAACACGTTAATGATATTGACAAAGAGTTCTCTAGAAATTTAAAAAGGTGTTGTTTAGATCCATTTGGGAATATGGTATCTACTACCCTTTCTTGTTAGTCTTTGCCTAACTACTTAAATAGCTACAGTATTATTTATAAACGTACGAGCCTAGAAAAACTGCACGAATATTAGGAAGAAAAGATCCCTTTAGAGATGAACTAACTAAATTTTGAGCACCAATAAGTGAAGTATGACCCATGATGTTTAATTTATTAATTTAAAACTTCAAGTTGAACAAATTAATTAAAAGTAGTTATAGGTTTGCTCTAAAACTTTATATTAGGAAGTTTTGACTTAGTCTCCCTTCTCGTACTTTGTCATTTATTTGTGTCGTGGTGCGGCAGCATTATACGTTTGGTTTTATTTTATATATATATA